AAAAACATATAAAATTTAAAAAAATCTAAAGAAGAAATTGTATAGTAAAAACTTCAATACAAAAACTTTAAACTTTTTTTTTTTTTTTTAATTCAGCAGTCTTGCCAATACTGTTTATTAGTACACTAAAGTATTTGGTTACAAATATCACATGTACAATTACAACACTCTAATCTATTACGAGATATTGGCTTACCCGGTTACTAACTTAGTACTTATGTGCGACCTGCTATATGAGATTTTACCTCCTTAATAACCGCCCTAAACTTTAAAAAACAATTTAAGAGATAGAATTTTCTGCTCCGCTACTCACGTGATCTACAGATGATTCCTAGTATCATAGTCTAAAATCTCTTTAAGGAAACCAGACCAACTATCTGAGTTGGCAAAATAAAACTACACAATCCAGACTACTTACTCAAACTACCAAATCTAACAAAAACTCAAAAACTCATATTCGAGATGAGTAGGTGGGAACAAAAGCCAGACTTTTCGTCAAGCAGCAGCAAAGACAAAAGAGGAATAACAAATTCCTACACAACCCTTACCTAAATACCAAACCAAACATTATAACCACATACTTACTCAATACTCCTTATTCAATATATCATCCTTATATATATTCATAACCACAAACATAACACTTATACATTATATCACACTTACCACACCATACCCTATGTTATAGACTCGGGTTAACAGTCTTGTGACAAATGGATGCCTTGTGACTTCATTCATGGCATCTCATAAACTAATTTTTTTTGTTCGAAAACTGTTGACATCAGAAAATCATAATCCATGCCTTGTATAAGATCACACATTTCACATAAAACTCTTAAAATGTAATACTATCTTCATCTGAACCTAAACAAAACGTATAAATACCATGTCTGAGTTGTCTTCTCCTACCTCTACCTATACTACTGCAACTGAAGACTCATTCACATTAGTTAATGTAGTTAAAAAGTGAAAAATGAAAAGCTTATTGATTTCTTATAGAAAGAGGAAGACTTGAATCTTAGCGAAACAGTTATTAAAATTTTAGAAAAAGAGGAAATTAATGGCTATGCCTTCTTAAAGATTACTGAAGAAAAGCTTCACAATTATGGAATACCAGGTAGGCTGGCATTAAATCTGGCAGACTTCGCTAAGGACTTTAGTAAATGAAAATTAAAAATATTTTCATCATACAAAAGTCTTAAAGAGGTGTTGAAAAAATATGGACTTGATAGTAATAGTACCGAATTAATCCTGCTGTTCAAAATATGTAAGCCTGTTGTTGAAATCGTGCATACACTATTATTTGCAGTAATTGTCTAATATAATTTCTTCTCAGCTAAAGTAACCTGTGAAATTCAAGTTTCTGATAAGCATTTCGCACATTGCATAGCAGAAATTATGGTTAGGCTAAAAAATTATGGGCTGGATAGCTAGAAAGCCATGCGTAATGAATATGTTGTAGCAATTCTTCATACTACTTTCAATATTGCCAGAGATAAAATACAAAAAACATTTAATATGAGGTCTCAGTATAAAATTGTTAGAAACAAGACTACTGGGTGAGTGTATTACACAATTAAGATAAGTTTTGTTTCTAAACTATTATACTTCGATTTTTTAAGAGAAACTGATAACTATTTTTATTACAGGATGCTAAAAACTTGATTTGTATTATAGAGAATAAACAGCACCAGATATCCATAGGTATGGCCCAAAATATCTGCCAACTTAAGAGTTCATATGAAACAAACAAGAAAAAACAAAAAGCAAGTGATACGTTTGGGGATAATAATTACTTCAACTATTTATATGGAGTAGTAACAACTGGAAAGAATTAGTTTTTTTTATTATATAGTTTGGACGGGATCTTACAAGGTAGTAAATTACTATATACTATTGAATTTACTGAAGATGCTTTGGATGAAGAATCCGAGGAATATCAAACATTGCATAAAAGTGTAAGAAGAGTATTGGGAGCGGTTGTAGGTATGTTGAAAGATAGGGCATGTGTAGATAAGTCTGGTGCGAAAAAGAAAGCATAGATAGAGGATTACTGCTAGAGAGGAACTAGAATAGGTGTATAATACCTTATTTTTGACAACTGTATTTCTGCATGTACTACGCATTATTTGTAATAAAGTAATCAGTATAATATGCAAACTGGCTACTGTGACTATTACATCCAAAAAATCAAAATGCCAATATATTTTATTTATTAATATAATAACATTTACTTTTTGTATATAATTTGGTTGTATAGACACCAATGTCTACATTTTACTAATGAAAATATTTGAATCGAAATAATAGTTTAAATACTGATTTACACAATCACGTTAAAATAAAAATAAAAAATGGCAAAATTACTGGACCCCTTTCTTTATTTATAAAAATTGCCCAAATAAACAACAATATAAAATACAAATAAAAAAAAAAATTATTCATTTGGAATGTTTCCAACACCAAAATTTTCTTGAAAGCCTGTTTCCCTGGATTCGTTGAACATCAATTCTAATTGTAGTTTTCCTGCTATAGTATATAGTTTTGGGCACCCTGGATTTTCAATAATTTTCTTAAGAACTGTTGACTAATTGGATCGTTACTAACACTTAAATATGCATTATTTTTTTTATGAACCTACCTATAATTTTACAAAGTAGTAAAATGAATATATAGTATAAAAAAAAAAACCTACTTTTTGCAAATAATTAGAGAAATCATGCAACTTACAACATAACTAGTTCTTCTATTTTTTTTAGTATTTTAACACTATAAGGAATTTCATTATTTTCATTACTAACACCAAGGAAAACATTATCTAGCCCAACTATGTAAAAAAAGTATTGATGTTATATATTGCCTAATTATAATTTTATCTACTAGGAATCGAAAATCGGTATAAGTAATGAAGCAAAAAAATCTAATATTAAAAATTAGTTAAATAATTAGTATAAGGTTAAATAAACAATATACAGTATATACTTACTATTTTTTTTTCTTTGAGTTACAAAATTAGGCAACGAAATTATTTTTTGCTAATTCTGCTATTTTTTTCTAGGTCATCTAGTTCTAAGTTAATATTTTTCTCCGCTTTATTTAGTGCTTTTTCTTCCTCTTCTGGTTCTCATATCTCCTCGTCATTCTCTAAATAGCTTTTGAAAAAACCAGTGAGCTTTATTTATTTAATTTTACTTATTTATTTATTACATTTAATTTAATTCAATGCACATATATAATATCTTTAACCCAATTCTAATTCCTATTACAAACCACCCCATTAGCTAATTTTAAATATCCAAAATCTATTCTAATTCAATTCATTCTATTTAACTTATTTAACCCTAATTCCATTTTCTCTATTTTTAACCTTAACTCAACCTATTTAATTCCTTCCCAAAATTCGAGTCTCAATCTCCTACTCTTAACCCCAATTCCAAATTAAACCCGATTCTCTAACTCTAACCTAAAAATCTATTAGATTCTTTTTATTCTAATACTAAACCTGCTAGTGTCCTGTTACTAACTACCTAGTGAATCATTCATTCTACTCAGGAAATTCAAGACAACCTCTTAAGGTTTCTTGATCTCTAAAGACAATACTCTATTGAATCATTTCCCTAAAGAACAGGAGCTTAATTTATTTTCTATTTTGTTATACCCTATCAAATAACCAAAAGTTCTGCATCGATTATCCAAAAATTGGCTGTTAAAGAGTAAGCATAAGGGAAAAAAAATCTTTGTTGAATGCTCCAAGAATGCAACAAAAAAGAATGATGAAAGAATAAGCCTTATACTTATTTCCTAAGTTTAACTATTAATCATCTTATTTTAAAACAGCCTCTGTTACTACTCTAAAAAGTAGAAAAGCTGAATAAAGCAAAATTTGGAAAGGAACAGATCTATGAATCCTTTTCATTCAAACAACATCTGAAGATATATTTGTAATCTTCAACTATTCAATATTTTATTGGCCACTGAGTCCCAAAAAATTCTATTCTCTATCTACTTCAAAGCCATCTTCTTGAGGTTTCTTAGACAACTAAGACATCAAGAAAGTAATAGAAAAAAAAAAATAAAAAAAGGATACATTGCTCCCACTAAGTTCTGCACCCTATATCTAGTTTTGCATAGCTCCTTTCATCAAACTTTTAGTTAGCACAAGCTCCAAACTAACTCTAAATACTATTCCGTGCTATCAAAGTCTTTAATAGTAGATAAAGTAAAGAATACAAAAAAAAAAACATGCATAAATATAAAAAAGATACATTGCTTCACTAACCTATATCAATTTTCTATAACACTTTTTACCAAAAAATCTAGAACCTTTATACTAAGGAACTAGATTAGAAAAAGAAGAGAAAATGAGGAAAATTGATGAATCTCATATTCACTTAGAGTATTTAAATATCGAAAACGATAAAAATTCTAACAACAATGTCTTAGCAATAGCAAGACACAACCTACTAATATAAACTATTCAAAAAAAATATTAGTATATTATTGGCAGAAAAAAACTACTTTAGAATTAGCATAAAATATACTAAAACCCATAATGAAGTTAAGAACATTTGAAAGCAACACTGTAATGATAGCACATATGATGATGACTCCAGGAACAAAATGATTTTTAGAAACAAACAAAAACTCCAAACAATGACAGTTCTAAGAAGTAATATCAAAGAAAGAAAAGCTATAAAGATACCAGAGAGACCACGATGAAAGCGATATTTAAAGACAACCCCCATAACGACGGTACTGATAACAACGACCTCAAGGATGAATAATTTCTAGAGTAGACAACAACTTTGAGAACAATGATGAAATGAAGCTTAGTCCTAATTCTCACCAATATCATGAGTACCTAAGGCCAATTTTATTGGTTTTTGCCCATTTTAGAAGTATATGTATTATGTACAGTATTATATTACTTTTTTTTGATTTTTTTTTATATATATAAGTGCCTGTGACTGATCTCTCTTCTTTTCCAGGCCATTTTATTTTGGTTTCTGCCATTTGCTCAAAATAAGACGTTTTGCATATATCAATTGAATGACAGTTTTTTTTATAAAAAAAAAAATTTCATAGTTAATAAAACCCAACGATGCATGCCTCCTGAAGATACTAATATACTATTACCGAAGCAAGACCCTTTAGAAAGAAATGACATTCCACAAGATGATGATTTTGATGAAGATAAAGCCCTCTCTTCAAATGATAAGGACTCTCAAGAAGAGAACTCTGACCACACTTACAATTCAACCCAGAGATGGTATCTTTTCTGGTTAAAATATTCAAAGGAAATGAGCTATCTATTGATAATAGAAAAAGGATACTCCAGAACATTCCATGAAATAGACAGGTCAAATCTGTACCACTATCTATAAACAGACAGTTATCTCAAAAGTTGCCAAAAGACATTAAAGCAACTAACAAAATACTTTCAAAGATATCTTACCATATATTAGCAACATTCAAACTGTTAGACTATTTATTTAAGACTCTATATAATACTAAGCCTGCAGAAAATAAAAAAGAAGCCCTTAAAGTATGGACAATATTGGAACAATCGATGCTAGCAGCTAGGTCTTTGCTGTTGGACTCTCTCTCTCATACCATACAGGTTAGAAGAGACTTGGCTATCAATACTATCATTCCTTCCCATCAACCCAGAGCTAAGCACGACAAGTTGTTTGGTGAAAAACTTGCTGATTATGTTAAAAAAGAAAATAAAATCTCTAAATTTTTCAATAATGCCATATAGCAAAAAAGAAGATTAGAATTTTTTGATAAAAGAAACAACCACAACCACAAAACAAACAAGAGCTTTAATACAAACAAGTATAGAGGCAGAGGTAGAGGATTCCATAAAAAATTTAGAACTTCAAGTTATAGGCAAAATTTTTGGCTTGATCCTCCACAAGGGGGTCAGCCTTAGTCTCAAATACAAATATAAAGTTGGGCAGAAGATTGAGATCTTTTTTGAACAAATGGCAAAATTTTTGTGAAAATTTCTAGATAGTAAAGCTCTTATACAACAAATATCTTCTGTTTTGGAATACATTATCTCTATTAAAAATCTAATCTATTTTAAAAGAGATATTACCAGAAGAAACATTTCATACCATGACATTGGAAATAAGCAAACTATTGAAGAAAGGCATTATTATGAAATTCGACAAGAACTTATCATGTTTTATCTCAAAACTTTTTTGTGTTCCCAAAAGTTCTGGAGAACTTCACCCAGTTATTAATCTTCGTTTGTTAAACAACTATGTAAAATACCAACACTTCAAGATAAAAAGTATGGATCTGATAAAAGACACATTGCAAAAGAACGATTTTTTGACAAAAATAGATATCAAGGATGTCTTTGCTCATATACCAGTAGCAAAGAATTTTTTAAAATACTTAACATTCGATTTTGGAGGACAATGCTTTGCTTTTAGAGCTCTCCTCTTCAGTTTGACCTTGAGCCCAAGGATTTTTACCAAGATACTATGTCCAGTAGCAAAATGAGCAAGATCTTAGGGTATTCGTCTTATAATCTATCTAGACGACATTCTCATAATGGCTTGTTCGCAAAAACAGGCATATCTACACATACAGAAAGTAATACAAATGCTGGAAAGATTAGGATTTATAATAAATATGGAAAATCACACCTAGTTCCTACGAAAAACTTGAAATTTTTAGGATTTCTCATAGATATGAATTTGATATTAATAAAGCTACCCAAAAGAAAAATAAACAAAATAAGAAAGAAATGTTTGAAACTATCGAATACAAGAATGATTTATATTTGAAAACTAGCAGCTGTTCTGGGGAAACTCTTAGCTTGTACAAACGCAGTGTTTCTGGCAAGGCTTTATTCAAAAGCTCTACTCAGAGACAAAAACCAAGCTTTGGCTTGAGGAGGTTGGAATTTGATTGTATGTCTCTCACCAGAAAGCATCGTTCGGCTAAAGTGGTGGTCTCATGAACTCTTAAACTGGACAGTCGAGTAATAACCCAACAAGAACCAAGTTTAACACTAATAACAGATACATCTCTTCTGAGTTGTAGAGCGATAATGAACAATCAGATTATTTATAGCAGATAAAATCAATCTGAGAAAAACTTTCACATAAATTAGCTAGAGATTCTAGCAGTAAAAAGGGCAATAAAATCATTTCCGGAATTAAGCTCAATAAATATGAGACTGAAATTGGACAATATAACATAGTGGCATACATAAACAATCAAGGTAGCACTATTTTGAAAAATGTAAGTCAAATAGCAGAGACAATTTGGAAGGATTGTTTGAAGAGACAAATCAATTTGATCACTTACCATGTTCTCAGAAGGAAGAATTGGCTGGCGGATGCTGCATCCAGGTTGAAGCTAGAATGTCAAGACTGGTCAATTCAGAAAAGTTTGTTCAAGAAAATCAATCAGTTACTGGGACAATGCAATATAGACCTGTTTGCAAGCAGGTCCAACAAAATGTTCCTGAAGTATTGTTCCCTTATTTCAGACAGAAAAGCTCTGACTACAAATGCATTGCAACTTCCATGGAGAGGATGCAAGTCTTGGACAAACCCTCCTTGAATATTAATACTGAAAGTTTTAAACAAAGTAATTCAAAAAAAAGTGACAATAACTTTGGTCTTTTCTCTGTAGCAAACGATACCTTGGTTTTCTACTTTATTTCACCTTCTAGTAGATCTCCCAGTTATAATTTCACCGAACTCAATCATATACAATTATTAGAGATTGAATAGGAGAATAGAACTTTGAAATCTTTGCATAGTGCGTTTATCAGAGAACACTTATCAAACAAGGGCCTTCAAGAAGGGGCTATCAACTTATTCTCTGCAGTGTATGATCCAAAGGCATCAAAAACAGTTTTCTCAAATATCAGAGTGTGGTGTAATTGGTGTAAACAATGGAACCAAAATCTCACTTCTTGCAATTTGGTAATTATAATTCGGTTTCTAAATGAATAATTAAATCAAGAGAAAGCCTATAATACAATAGCAGGTTATAAATTTGCTATTAGTGAAATATATGATTTGATCGAAGGCAAAAAAGTAGAATCCCACTCCAATATTATTCAAGTCATGAAAGGAATTTATAATTTAAATTCACCTTCTCCACACTTGGACAAGGTCATAAGTATTACACTATCGTTTGATTATATTTCAAATCTAGGCTCAAATGAATCCATGACAATTTTAAACTTGTTACAAAAGACAGCCTTCTTGATTGCAATAACCACTGTGGCTTGCCCATTTGATTTAACTAGGATGGATTTAAAAATAGCTTAAGCAGTTGAAAATAGTTACGTTGTAGAGATGCAAAACCTCAAAGAATCAAAAATTTCAAGATCCCATGGTGGCAAGAAAAACACGTCAAAAACTATATATATAGATATATACCAAGATAAGCCAGAATTATGTCTAGCCTCTGCCTTTGCAGAATGTGTAAACAAAACAAGTAATTGGAGAGATACATCTGCTAGAGCAACCATGCTTTTTTTGACAAGTACTAAACCACATAACCTGGCATCACCCGACACAGTATCAAGATGAATCAGAGATATTTTAAAGCATTCTTCATCAGATTTGAAATCAAGAGATAATGGCTGTCTTTTTTGCTCAAAACTCTGGTGCGGAATTAACAAAGATTCTAGCACTGGGAAATTGGGCCAGTAACGAAACGTACCATAAATTCTACCAAAGAGGCATAACAAAAATGTTGGCCAAGAACAATATTATGGCTTCAATCTTGAATCAAGCAAGACTGGAATGCTCCGAATAGGCACTCGTGATCTTGGTGAAAATTAGAACTGAGTTTCATTTATACAAATGGATGAGTGTAACAAAGTTCATTTGGAAATGAAACGAAGGACTAAGAATCACCAAGATCACATGTTACCCACCCTTCCACGCCCTTTCTGCTTGACCAAACTATATTCACATCAAAAAAAAAAAAAAAAAAGAACAAAAACAAAAAAAAAACAAACACTTGCTTTAATTTGCATATACTTAATATCAGTGTAGTATAATTTTCAATATCTTGCATTTCTTAGAGTAAAAGTATAATATAGTATTAGAATGCTAAAGTAATAACAGTACGGTGTCACGTGGATAAAACGGCCTGGAGGTCGGTCACGGGCACTTATATATATATATAAAAAAAAAAGTAATATAATACGTAATGCATGTACTCCTAAAATGGGCAGAAACCAATAAAATTGGCCTTAGGCACTCGTGATCTTGGTGATTCTTAGTCCTTCGTTCCATTTCCAGATGAACTTCGTTACACTCGTCCATTTGTATAGATGGACGATGTCGACACGACAACGGTATTTAATCTGAAATGATCTACAAAAACTAGCCAATCAAAATAAACTAGTGAGCTTTCGATATCGATAGCGAAGTTATACTTAAAGTCAGCCTATATAAAATCCTCTTGATATAATGAAATTACCAATAAAACCCTCGATATAATGAGTTTTTAAAAATTTTTATTAATGAAACCGATCACTTCACTATAACGAGAGTGACTTGTATTTATAGAATTATGTTTCTTTGATCACATAGGTCAAATTGCATTTTTTTATGCACCATTTAAACTTAAATATAGAAATTCCAAGATGGAATCATGTGGATGGATCATCTAACCAGATACTAATTAGATATATCACTTCGCTTGCCATTAAACTATACACTTCATTGTTCATCGTTCTGGTATTATCTGATAATCAATTGAATTCGATTTTTAAGAGTTTATCAACCTTTGAACCTAGATAATACTTGATTAAAAGTCTTAAATTTTTTGAATAATTTAAAACTTTAATATTATATTATTAAATGCACACACTTTTATTTTTAATTTGATCCTTTTCACTGAAAAGGGTATATATTTTTGGTTTTGATCATGAACCCAAATTAAGTAGAATGCCTATTCCTAAACCCAAAAGAAGTAGTAATGCCATAATTTTAAAAAAGGTTTAGATTGCAACCTAATTAACCTATCTTTCTTCGGAAAGAACAACCTAATAGTTATCAAGAAAAAAAAAATTGTAATCAACATGAATTGCGATCGGAATCAGAAATTTATTATTGATAAAAACCTTCAGTTAAACGAGCACGACCACCAGTTGGTTGACATAATACATTAGCGCAGGATCCACACAATACAACAGTCTGAGCGTGACTAAATACGGTCGTGATACTAAAACAGCCTATTAATAAGTTTTAATTATTTATCATTAATAAATTCGATATCGGTCAGATAAATTCAAAACATATGCAATACAAATTTATTAAGTGAATCTGTGAATTTAAAAAAAAAAAACCATTTAATTACCAGGACATTTTACATCCATAAAGTAGGAATTTGGACTTTGCACCAGTCTTTTAAGCTTATGTTGACGTTTTTCATGATCGGGTGAAGGATGAAGGAGATCTAAAGTCAACTGTTAAAAGTAGTATTTTACTGTTAATAGAAAAAATATAATAATAATTTTATTATTCTCAAAATCAGAGAATTCTCTAAAATAATCCAGATAATTTTCAAGTTTTGCAATTGCTCGCAACTATAGTTCATCCATCAAATAATTGTTATGCATTTTGAAATTTCAACAGAGATCATATTTCCAGAACTGATAACTATTCAAAAAAACTTTGGAATATTGTTTTTACATACCACCATGATTGAATATGCTAGCTTCTTTGTAGCAACGGTTGAAAAGGAAGAGGTGTGATTTGCAAAATTTTTGCCGATATTTATATGTAATTCTATCGGAAATTTTGCAGGCTTCTTGTGTCACGATATACATCACTGAAATACCCATGACGGTTAGATATTAGATTAACTTCAAATTTATTTTTTATGTAAATTTCAGAATTTGCGAGTAGAGAATGCTATACTGTTAAATAACAATGTTAAAGCAGACATTTTACATAAAATGTCTCGTTTATATATAATGTATTAGGCATACGAAGTGTCAGGTATCAACATATACGTCTAACCAATCAGAATGACTAAATTTCTTAGTCTCTATAGTAAATTGATCTTAGCTAATATTAAAAAAAAATTTTATTTCGAGTTTTTATGTTAGGGACCTACCGGTACCCTACTCTAATTTCGGGTAAGGGTAAGCATTAGCGAGGTTACAATTGGTTTAATCCACCGGGTGGATGAAAAATTGGGGAGTGTGGTGTACTATGTAAATCAAAACTATATGGGTCTTTACCTTGAAAATGACCTTACGGTACATGATACTGTAAGTTCATTTTCAAGGCAAAGACCCCATATGTGGTCATAATAAAATTTATTAATGAAGATTTTTTTAGTAATTATAGCAAAATTTTAAATAGATGCATAGCCTAACGGTTCGATAGATTTGGATAAAATTTTGCAAAAACTAGTATTATGTCTCTATGAACAAAGCTATAGAGCCATTTCTTTAAAAAAGAAACCAAATTAGTTTTTCTCTCTAGATCAAAGTTTCTTTCATGGTAAATAAAAGAAATGACTCTATAGCTTTGT